CAATGAGAGGAAGTTATAAAGACACCAATTTAGGCTTGATATTGAGAAAAAGAAAATCTACCAATTTCTATCAATTATAGCTGCTCAAAAGTGGATAGAACGCCTGCCCTGGGGTCAGAAGGACTTGAATTCAAATCTGACCTCAGGTACTTCATAGATGCAAGATCCTGGGAAAGTAACTTAACCCTGTTTGCCTCAATTTTCTTATATGTAAAATGAACTGGAGAAGGAAACGGAAAACCACTCCAATATCTTTGCCAAGAAAACTCCAAAGGGGGTCACAGAGACCCAACCACAAAAAGTGGAATAGGCTGCCTACAGAGGTGGCGGGCTGTCTCTGCCCCCTTGGAGGTCTTCAACCACAGGCTGGATATTGTTGGGTATCCTACGGCTTTCATGTCAATGGACTGGACTAGATGGTCTCCAAGGGTCCTTCTAACTCCCAAATTCTTTGATACACATTTGTTAAGAGTCAGACATTATGCTGGGGACAAAAAGATAAAAAATTCCAGTCCCTAGCCCTTACACGTCCCATTCTTTTACTGGACTGGACTGTCTAAGAGGGCAGGTGACATTTCTTAATGATACAATTTCACCAGGCCTGTGATTTCATCAACTAGAGGAAACTCCCTCCAGGGATACCGATGCTTATGAACTGGTTGCTAGGGGTATTGGGAGAATTAAAGTGTCTTGCTTAGCTAAAATGGCTCTCTCCAAAACCTTCCTGGACATCTCAGAGGCAGGACCTGAAACCGGGCCTTTTGTCTAATGGCAGCCTCATTTTACAAAGGAGGAAAATGAAACTCAGACTGCAGTCTATGCAGTATCACCTGTGTGCCCACAGACCTCTCTGGACTTCAGTTTCTTTTTCTGTAAAATGAAAAGGGTGGAATAGATGATCTCAAGTCTCCTTTTTTTCTTCTTTCCCTGGAATGTAGGTACTTAATACTTTTCCCATTCATTTTTCCCACTGTATCTTCTCAGGGAGTATAGTGGAGGTACAGGGGATACACATACCACCCCTCCCCCAGCACCATGCACTGTCCCTTGATGTTTGATAAGTATTTCAGGAAAGAGAAATATAAGGCAGCTGTGATTCAGTGGTAAAATACAGGATTTGGCTCCTAAGAACCTGGATTTTAATTCTAGCCTTGAATGACTTTAGGCAAGTGACTTAATCTCTCTTAGGTCACAATTTCCTGCTCTTCAGGAAAAAAAAAAACGATGGGGTTGGATTAGAAGATCTGTCGATCTCTTCCAGGTATCACAGACTGTAGTCAGTTCAGGCAGCCACTTGCAGACTCTGGTCCCAGGAGGCTACAAGAACCCCAGAGAAGTAATGGTAGGAGACCTGGAGGTAGGCCTGATGTCTGCTAGACAGGGATAGCAGGATATTTATTTATATTTATTACAAGTCCTTCAGCTCAACCCCCTAAATTTAAATCAAGATACATTCATTGAAGAATAATCACTCATTAGGATTTTGGGCACAAAAGGGTCTTCAGAAGACATCTTTTTGGGGCAGCTAGGTGGTGCAGTGGATAGAGCACTGGCCCTGCTGTCAGGAGGACCTGAGTTCAAATCCAGCCTCAGACCAAACACTCGACACTTATTAGCTCTGTGACCCTGGGCAAGTCACTTAACCCCAATTGTCTAACCAAAAAGAAAAAAAAGACATCTTTTTAACCTCCTCCCCACCTTTACTGATAAGAAAACTGAGTGCAGAAAAGGGAAACGACTTGATCAAAGTTGCGCGGTACATTAGTGTCAAGCCAAGGCTAGGACACAGGTCTCATACTGTGCTCTACTCAGCAGGTTCTGGGTCTGCCTGGGAAAAAAGTCAAATGCAACAGAAAACAAGAGAAAATCAGAAATCCATGTTCTTCTCTGTCTTTTTTTCCCTCCCCCTTGAGGAAAATTATTCCTACTAATGAATATCAACCATTGTTAGGCAATTTATAAAGCACTCTACAATGCTTGCACTTGAGGCTCCATCTCCCATCTCCGGAAGGCCCTCAAGTCTCAAATGCCCTCCCTGCCTTACCTTTTAAGCCATAACTTTAGATCCTCCCTTCTTCAGTTCCCCCAGGGGCTAGTACCTTCCCTCCAAGATTACCCATCAACCGTTTCAAGTATTAAGTCTTTTGTGTTCTTACATTTGCCTCCCCCTAGAGAATGGGAGCTCCTTGTAGGCAGGAATGGTTTTTGCATTTTCTTTGTTATCTCTCCACTTAGCATAGGCTTGGCACCGAATGCTAGAGATAACGCTTGTTGACTGATTGGCTCCTAGTTTTAGAGTTACCTGGGGAACTGAGAGGTTAAGTGATGTGCAGAGTACAATTCAGAGGCCCCCTCCCCCAGTCCAGTACGGAGGTTCATTTCTCCCTAATGGTTATAAATACCACTTAGTCAGCACCTAGTAGCCAAGCAGTCTGCTCGTTAGTCGGTAACCAAAGGGTCAGGGGCCTCTTGCTTACCTGGGTTAAAACCTTTTAATGGTTTCCTGTGGGCTATGAAGAAATATTCCAAAAGCTTGGCCTGCCATTCCAGGCTCACCACCCTTCAGTGCCAACTTATCTTTCTACTCTTAGTTCTGTTTATTCCTAATTATGTACTCCAACCAAATTAGCCCACCTAATTGGTGGTTAGCTATGGTTTGGGGCCCCTTAGTCCCTGTATGTGGTATGCTCTAATCTTACCTCCACTGCCCATTCTACTGCCTCCCTAGGGTCTCTTCAGATTCCTGCAATCAAAAATGCCTTTCCCTTCTAAGAGCCCAAATTAATCCTTTGTTCGCACTCTTTTGTAGTGTCTTCCTTGTGTCCCCCAATAGCCTGCAGAGAGTTCCTCGAGGGTGAGGACCTGTTTATCTAAATCAGTGGTGTAGACCTCAAATTGAAACTCGGCACGTAAGGGATGCCCGCAGGCCAAATATTGACTCAGTCTTAAAATGTAATATTACCCATGTTTTTATTTGTTTTGTTAAATATTTCCCAATTACATTTCAATCTGGTTTGAGCTGCACTGGGGAGCATCGCAGGTGAACGTTTGACACCTCTGATCTAAATCACGTGTCTGTTCCCCTCCTTTGGCCCTGCACATAATAGGTGTGGCATCAGCGTCAGATCGATTTTGTAGTTGAAGCCCCGAAATGACTGTCTGGGGGATTTGGGGCTCAGGGTCTGTCTGGGAATGTTCCCTTGAACAGACTCCACAGCTGCCGAGTGTTCTCTTGAAAAAGCGTGATCTGCAAAGGAGAATGGACTTCCTTGTTCTTCCAGCTTTCAAGACAGTAGGAATACTCATTAACTTCTCCGTCGCCATAGAGACATCTTCCGCTGCTGACCCCGGGATTCCTAAGTTTTCCACCCGGGAATAATTCTATCAGGTGAGGGGGCATGGCCTCCCGATAGCTCGGCCTTCCTCCTTCCACAGCCGAGGGCTCTCCTTACTCTACCAGACACATCTGGAGGTGGGAGGGGGGAGTGCTATCGGGAAGGATAGAAGGCAGAAGCTTTCTTTTTTTTCACCTCCGGAAGCAACCGTATGGTCTGTTAACACACTAGCCCTAGGAGGTCGGTGAGGTCATTCTGGGTCCTCCCTTATTAGGAAAGTAAGATGGTACAGGGAAAAAGAGGAAGGTCTCTGGAAGGACTGGGGTTCAGATCTATTACTATCTACGTGACCTTACGCAAGTCACTTAATCTCCTACAGCCTCAGGTTTTTCTCTCAGTAAAATCCAGAGGATTAACCCTGAGGTCCTTTCCAGGACCCTCCATGCATTTCTGGTGCTGATATATATAAAGAAGTCGGCCCCAAATCGAGGAGTTCCTAGCTTAATGGGGCGGGAGGGACCTTTCTCCCATAACTCCACCCCCACCCCCACAGGACTTCAGACAATCAGAACTGAAACTTCAGGCAGGGAGAGGCACTAGGGCAAATTTTCCAAAATGCAAACAATGTTTCTGAGTCCTGGAAGGAGACTCGGTCAGGAGAATGGTCTGATCTGAATTAGATGAGGTTAGTCAAGGAAGGCTTCCTGGAGGAGGGGACCCCTGTATAGGTCATACTTCAACAACGTTTTTCAGCTTACAAAGCTCTTTCCTCATGACAACGAGGTGAGTAAGGTGGGTCGGACAAGAATTTAGCTCCAAGTCACAGCTGAGCAAAGAAGGCTCAGGAAGGGCCCTAAATCAAAACAGCCAACAAGTGGCTGGGCTTATCGAACCTACCACTAGTGGTTCTCTTCCTGAGCCCCCTCTTGCCCGGAGGCACATAAGTCTTTACCAAGCTCCTAAATCGTTGCCAGGAGCTCCCACCATGTTACTGAAGTCACTTGTTCACCCCAGTCCAGGTAGCACCTCACTCCTAGCGGTCCGGGTCCTCATTCACTCTTTTCCGCTCTTCCACCCCCCCCCCCAAGTCCGAAGTCTTCCCTCCCCAGGCAGGGAAAGTAACGAGGACGGCGGGTAGTGCGGAGGGGCAGGTCCCGGGAGCATCGCCTAGTACCCCGAAAGCTTCCTCCTCCTCCGCCCCAAGAGAGAAGGATTCTGCGACCACCTCCCCAAAGGCATAGCTCCAAGACCCCGACGAATTTTCCCCAGTGGAAATCCGGGAAGGAAACGGACAAGATCGGCTCCGACGAGCCCAGGCATGCCTAGGCTTGAAGACTGCGCTTACTGGACAAGCCTCGGGCCAGCTCGTGAAGCCGCTCCTTCCTCCAACCCCCACTCAGTCCCTAAGAAGCCGTCCGCAGCTCTTCCCCCGGGAAGGACGGCAGAGGAGGAGGAAAGCAGCGGCGGTCAGTTGATGCAATCCCAGAGCCAGGTTACAGTCTGCCCCCAGCTCCCAGCTCCCGATCCCAATTCCAACCCCAAAGCTGTGACAGCCGTCGAGCCTGTCCAACGGGACAGGGCTGGCCACAGGACCGGGCCCCCTCTAGGACTTGGGGGGACGGCTAAGGGGGGGGACGGCTAAGGAGGGGTCCGGGGAACACTCACCTCCGTGGCCCCTGCGCCGCTACACTGGGCGTAGGGGATATAGCCCTGGATTCCGGCGCAGTTCTCCGCGTCGGCAACGATCATGGTGCCAACCGGTGCGCACCTTCCCTGCGGAACCCGCGGAGACGGCCGCGGGGGCGCAGCGCGCAAGCGGGTCCTGGGGTCACAGACGCTCCCGGCGAGGCGGGGCTCTGCACCTGTCCGCAACCCCACGGTTCTGCACGGAAAGGGTCCGTGGCTACTCGAGGGGCGCCCCAGGTTCTATCGTGGCCCCGGGGGGTCTTAGAATTCTAGAGTGAAGAGCGTCTTGGCTACCGCAGCTCATCGACATCCCCGAGCCCGACTGCCTTTAGCTTCTCTGGATCCGGCCTCGCAACAGGGACCTATCCAGCCGCCGGTCGGGGGTGGGGGGTGGGGGTGGGGGGTGGAGTGGAACAGGGCGGGGACACAAAAGCCTCAGGCTTCGGCCAATCACCTACTTGCTGGTCGGGCAGAAGGCGGAGACGCCTTTCCTCCTCAAACAGCTTCTCTCGACAATCTTCCAATGGGCTGGGGAAGCCCTGGGGGATCTGGGAGTTGTAGTTTCACCCTAGAGGATGTTGCAAACTTTTGCAAGAGGGTTACTCATAAACAAGTAAACGAGAAACGTGAGACAGACAGTGACAGTCCCAAATACTCATTTCGATCGCATGATGAAATGCAACTTTTTAAGAGCTGGGCACGGCATCTGGGTTTAGAATTTCAAGCCCGTTCATGCTGCAGATTTAAAGTTTCTGGTGAGATTGTTTAGGGTCTCAGGATGGGTTTTGGTGGCAACCGTGAATATTGAACATTGCTGGAGCTAATTATAGGTCTGAACCCGAGGGAATCTTAAAAGGTCTTTCAGTATATTCACCTTGCCCTCAAGCAGGCCTGTACTTTCAAACATAACAGACAAAAAAGAATCCAACCTATATCTGAAGTTCTGCAGAGGTCATTTCATAACTTCCCTACGAAATTCATTCTGGTGTCTAACTCCAGTCTCTCTTGCTGGAGTTTCAGTCTTTCCCCACTCCTTTATTTTCCTTAACTAGTCCGCACTATTTGACACCATATTTAACAGTACTGAATCACCCATCGCTCCTTCAATCAATCAGTCAAGAAACAATTCCTGAACTCCTCTAAATGCCAGGGCACCAAGTTTGAAACTCACTTCCCTGTTCAAGACATCGAACTATCTTGGTTTTCCCACCTACCAGCTGATAACTCCTCCTGTCTCCTTACATAGATTCCCGTCTTTGATTCCCTTCTCCCCCATAAAAGGGAGCGTTTCCCCCAAACTTCTGGCCATGACCCTTCTCTCTGTAGGAAAGGGAGGGGAGGGTATGGTAGAGGTCGGTCAGGTGGGGGAGGGCAATGGGGCAGAGGGGAGGGACTGCTAGTTGATGCAATGCCATTCCTGAGTTGCATCTTCCCGAACTCTCTCACACACCCACCAGCCCAATCCAGTAGCTGAGATATGAAATGGCAGTTAGCCCTTTAAACTAAGCACAGATAGAGATAGAAGGAGTCTAGCAGGAATGCTATCTTCAGGGACTTAAATGACCTTGGGGGAGTAGGGAAAGCAACTAGGTCCCTGACACCTCCAGTTTCAGCTTGGGTGTCCTTACTTTCCAAGCTGCTCCTAGCACCTCCATGCTGTGGACTTCTCTCAAATTTATCTTTTAATCTCCCATCTCTGCTCTAAGATCCAGCTCAAAATTTTCAATTACATGTTGTACATTTCCATAAAAATGTATCCCTGGGAATTAAAAAAGCTGAATGCTGAAAACTGAACTCATCTTCCTAAAGGCAGTTACTTCCCCTTGATTTTCCCATTTCTGTTAATGGCTCCCCCCCCCCATAATCCACTGAAAACCTGACTCATCTCTGACTCTTGTCTCTCCCTGTGTTCCATCGGTCACCAAACCTTGTTCATTCTTCCTTTCTACTTCCAGAGTCACAACTCTAATGTAGATAATGGTGATCACTTCTCACTTGCATTATAGTATTAGCCTCTTCCTAACTGGTCTCTGTTTCTCTTCTCCTGCCTCCCTCAACCCATTCTACACATCTGTCAGAATAATCTTTTTTTCTTTCTTTCTTCTCTCTCTCTCTCTCTCTCTCTCTCTCTCTTTTTTTTTTTTAAAGAAATAGGGGTTAAGTGAGTTAGTTGCCCAGGGTCACACAGATAGTAAGTGTGTGAGACCAGATTAGTCATCCTGACTTCAAGGCCAATGTTCTATCCATTGTGCCACCTAGCTGCCATCCAGAAGAATCTTCTTAAATCAAATGTCTGACCCTGTTACTCAACTGGTTTGAGGTCTTCAATGGTTCCCCATGGTTTAAAAGTGATCAAGTCTAATCTCCTAATCCTGGCATTTAAGACCCTCCAAAATGGCTCCAAATTTCCTTTCCCATTTTATAGAATGGATTAAGAGCTCCAAGAGACCTTAGTGGTCATTTGATCTCTCTCATTTTACAGATAAGGGAACTGAGAATGAGAGAGATTAAATGATTATCCAAGTCACCCAGTGGGAGTAGCAGCGTTAGGATTGAAACCCAGGTCCTCTGACTACAGATGCATGATATTTCTGCTATCATATTACATATTATGTTGATATTTCAAGGCATACAGCTTCCCTTTGTGCACTCTGTACTTCAGCCATACTGTAGTAGTGGACATTTTCAAACACACTTTCCCATTTCTCTGACTTTGCTCAACAGCTAGCAATCTCTCTCTCTCTCTCTCTCTCTCTCTCTCTCTCTCTCTCTTCTCTCTCTCTCTCCCCTCTGAACCCCCGCAGCACCATCTACTATTACCATGGTCCTTACTGCCTACTGCCTTGTATTTGCAGTTATTAGTGTCAACATCTTTCCCCCATGAGACTATAAACTCCATGGCAGGGATCTGTCTTATTCATCTCAAATATATAATAGCAACAAATGACATTCATAAAGGACTTAATACATACCTAAAGTGCTTTGCAATCAAAATCTCATTTTTTTGCTAACATAAAAGCCTTAGGTTGGTAGTGCAAGTATTAATCCCCTTTTTACAGGTCAGTATACTAAAGTTCAGAGATAAAGTGATTGGCCCAAGGTCATGCAGGAAATTCCAGAGCAAGGATGAGAATGTAGGCTTCCTGACTCCCAAGTGCAGTGCTCTTTGATTTCCCTGGCTGCTTCTTTGTATCTCCCTCCGTACATTAATACTTAATAGGAAGTCAATAAATAATCTTTGAATTAAATGGACATTTTGATTTGAAAAAGCTCACAAAGAAATATAGGTGTGCCTCTTCAAGCCTGGTTTAAGCAATCAGCCTTCACTCTCTCCCTTTTCCGAGCAATAAAAGAGGAGTCCCAATCACTCATTCTCCAGGAGTTCTCAAGTCCATGGCTGGAGGTATGATTCCAAAGTCAGGGGTACTCCAATTCCAGAAACAGACTAGACACAGAAATCTAAAAATAAACCCCAGCACAAGAGCTGTGCAGAGGTGTCTATGCTAAGGGGCAGCGCCTTTCTTTCCACGCAGCGAGGACAGTAAGATGGCAAAGGCTTCAAGATCAGCCTAAACCGCTCCAATGAGTCTAAAACGGACGCTGGCGATTGGAAGGGGGAAAAAAAAAAACCCCAAACCTGTTTGAATCTGCATGAGCTGACAGTGCCCTCTGCTGGGAATACGCTGCTACAGCTCAAAGTAGTACCAGAAAAAGAAGGTACCTTTGAGTTTTTCTCGTCCACCCTCACGTACTAGAGCACGAAAGTGGAGCCCTCAAAGGGTTGCAGTTTGCACAAGGTCACAGAGCTAGTGATGGCATAACCGGAATTCGAACGCTGCTCCTCTGGCCAGAGGCCGGGCATTCTGACTATATTATCTCTCTTCCCAAACAGCCTGATCTGCAGAGATTGGATAAACCTGTCAACGGTGACCAGCTGTGAGGTCCAACCATTAGCTCTGAGGACGGCTCTACTTCTGGGCAAAATATGGCCAAGCTCCAAGGGGGTCTGAGAAGTCATGTAGGGCAACTCCCTAATTTTACAGAATAACCGAGGAACAGAGAAGGGGATGGGTGAGGGCAGACTTCTCCCAAGTCACACGAAGCATTATTGGTAAGAGATCAGATTGGAACCCAAATGTCTAGACTTCTGATTCAGGCTTGTGCCTCACTGTACTACAGTGCCCCGACAGCTTGACATCTCTCCCCAAGGACAGTGCCCTTTATCCTTTTGGGTTCCTCCCCCTCTATTAACATTTTCTAATTCCCAAAACATGCCCACACATCCCCTCATTAAAAAAAAAAATAATTTCCCTGCACTTTCTCCTTCCCAAGAAAATAGTCGTCCCTGTTATTCCCATGCGGAGTCCTAGTCACCAGCAGGATCCCCTTCTCCCAGGCTGGAGCCTCCCCAGGCAAGAGCATTCCCTCAGCATCCTCAGACACCGGGCTGTCTCCCCTCTCTGCCCCTTGCTGAATTCCCTTGGCTTTCTCTGTTCATTCGAGATGACTGAACTAGTGCTGCCCTGATCCCCCTTTGGGGTCATCTAGTCCAAAGCCCTCATTTGACAGATAAGGAAAACTGAGGCTCAGAAATGTGAACAGCTATCTTTCTAATTAAATCCAGGAATAGGGAACTTTTCAAGGTGGAGAAGCCCCTAAGGGAGTATCAATACCATTGCAAGCATCTCCAGAAGTCTTCAGAACAGCTCGATCACACCTTCCTCTTGGCCTTGTCAGACGAAGTGTCAGGTAGACCCGCACTGATCAAGAATACTACCTTAAGCCATTCCTTTTGCTAGCTTTTTTTGCTCAGCAACAGGATCCCTTTTATACGTTGACCAGTGGCCAATTACAAGGTAGATGGGTGGGATTTGTCTGGCAGCCAATAGCTAACCTCTGGGAATAGCTCCAGGAAGCTGATAGGCCTAGGCTAATTTCTGACTTGGTTACAGAGGCTAAACCAAGGGCTTCTTAGAAGGGTGGGGAAAGGATGATCTTTCTGTCCTTAGAGTTCTGCCTTCTAATGTTTTCTGATAGGTATGGGCTTCAGTAGCCTACCTAAACCAGACAAGACAATGAGCAGGTCTTTTTCCCTCTTGATTCATGGGAGGGGGATAGAAGTGGGGTGAGGGGACAGCTGAGGAAAATTAAAGGGGCTAGGCTGTTGACTGATGCTCAATGCATGCCAAACTAACTGGTTTTTGTCATTAAGTGGAGAATTGTCTAATTTGGCCAGCCTGCCCCTACCTGACAATAGGATGATGTCTAACAGAGATACCAGTTTGAATAGCCATTTGTTATTCTTATTCAGTTGTTTTGAAGCTGTGTCCAACTCCTTGTGATTCCATTCGAGATTTTCTTGGCAGATACATTGGAGTGGTTTGCTATTTCCTTCTCCTTTTACAGATGAGGAAACTGAAGCAAACAGGGTTAAGTGATTTGCCCTGGATCACATAGCTAGTAAGCATCTGAAGCTGGATTTGAACACAGGTCTTCATGACTCCAAGCCCGGCACTCTATCCACTGTACCACTTAGCTGCCTCTTAATAGCCATAGTGATGTTAAAATTCTCTATAGGGCTGAAGTTTTGAGAGACCATTTTAATCATCCTGGCATTGAAAGAAAGAAAACTAAATTTGGAGAAGACTTAAGAGAGTCTTGGCTCTGCCACTTATGAGCTGTGTGAAGTGAGCAAGTCACTTATTTACCCTGGACCTGTTTTCTTCTCTGTAAAACTGAGATAAAAGTTGCACTGACTCACAGGGATGTTCTGAGAAACAAATGAGATCATTCAAAGCACCTCATAACTGATAGTTAACTCTAACCCTATCTTTCCAATGTCAGGAGAAATCGATGATGTCATGGGGCATGTTGGATGGACTTCCTGTGGCGGACTTATGGGAGGATCTGGACAGAGGAGAGAAAGGCATGGATGCTACCGTACATAGCAAGCTGTAACGGGGCAGAGAAAAACCAGTTCTCCAAATCAATGAAATTAGCTCAATTACAGCATTTTCCAATGTAGGCTATTACCTAGTCCACTCATTTTGCAAGGAAAGACACTGAAACCTTTTCCAAGGTCACACTGCCAGGTGGCGCTAGATCTGAGGACAGGTCTTTTGTTCCCACTCCTAGGTGCTTCCTATTGCCTCATGACTTCTCATGGTCAGGACACAGCCTGAGCTGGTCAATCTATGAGACAATGAACAGTAGTAGAATCTTCAGAATATGGTGACTTGCTACAAAGTCAATGGACTGAAGTGTGCATAGACCAGGGCCTGAAGACCTCCAACCTGCTCCTCAGTGGGCATTTTAAAAGTTGGTGATTTGGGGTTGGCCACAGAATATAGCTAAAAGCGTACATGCTGATGGTGGTGACCTTGTGGTACCAGGCCCCAGAGCTGTTACTAGGAGCTAAGAAAAATTCCACCGCAATGGTCCACACACATGGTCAGTGGGCTGTATGTTTGCAGAGCTGTTAACTTAGAAGACCCTGTTTCCAGGGAAATCAGAGATTGACCAGTTAATTGAAGTTTTTAAGGACTTGGGAACTCCAAGTGAGAAGATTTGGCCTGGTCACAATGACATTCCAGTTATGACAAAAGTGAGGTTTTTTTTTCCCCCCAAAAAAGTGAGTTTTACAGACCATTCCCATGATAACTTGCAGAAAAGATTTGGAGCCCTCTTCTCAGATGTAGGCTTCAAACTGAAAAACAAGTTCTTGTCTTACTTCCTGGCTGGAGGAACAATGCAGATGGCCTGAAGTACAAGTACTTCTGAGAAACCCCTTTTCCAGTTGACCCTTCTATGTTTCCCATGTGGCCAGCTAAGAGTGAGCAGCAAAGGGTTAAGAGCAGCACTGACACCAACTGCCCCTCCAGCCTCTCACCCTACTCTCCATTAAGTGCATTTTAGGCAGCTAGGTGCCAGTGGATTTGTTTGGAGTCAGGACGTTCAAATCCGGCCTCAGACATTTACCAGTTGTGTAAGACCCTGGGCGAACCACTTAACCCTGTTTGCCTCAGTTGTAAAATGAGCTGGAGAAAGAAATGGCAAACTAGTATCTTTGCCAAGAGAACCCCAAATGGGGTCATGGAGAGTCGAACAAGACTGAAAACAAGTGGCATTTTGGGGGCAGAGCCAAGATGGCAGAGTAAAAGCAGTGACTTGCTTGAGCTCTCCCCAAAACCTCTCCAAATACCTATTAAAAATGACTCTAAACAAATTCTAAAGCAGCAGAACCCACAAAAAGACAGAGTGAAACAAATTTCCAGCCCAAGACAACCTGGATGGTTGATCAGAAAGGTGGATCGCGCCAGGCTGGGAGAGAAAAACGCAGTTTGGCGTGGGCACATAGGCTGCAGTGAACCTGGAGCAGGCCTCAGAGGACTGAATCACAGCAGCTGTGACCGTTTCCAGACTTCTCAACCCACAAATGCCAGGGACAACTTAGAAGGTCAGTGAGAAAAGTCTGTGTCTGCAGTGAGAGAGAGAAGAGAGGTGGTCTCAACTCCAGTTCCAGAGCTCGGCCCCCGGGGCGGTGGCTGCCTTCTGAACTTCCAGCCCACAACTGAGGGGGAATCGAGTGGCTGATCAGAGGGGGATTGCAGGGATCTCTCTGCTGGTGCAGGACTCTCTTGCTTTGCCTGTGCTTGGATCTGGGTCACAATTCTGGGTGGCTGTCCTAGGGTGAGGAGGAACGCTGGCACGGTGGAGCTTGCAGTGGCTGTGAAGAGGAAATCCTCCTCACAGTTTCAAGATGGAAAAGACTGCTCATAGACCAGAGCACAGGCCAGGGAAGGAGTAAACACCTTGCCCTTGATCATAGAACCTTGGAAGAACTGAAAATTTACAGATCCCTAGAAGTATATCTGAAAACAGCTGCACAAAACCCCTGAAGGTTGGGACAGTACATTCTCCACACTGGAAACACACTCCCACCTTAACAAAGAATTTATAATTCAAGTAATTGGCTGGGATCATGAGCAAGCAGCGCAAAAAGAATCAGACTATATTATCTTACTTTGGTGACAAAGAAGATCAAAATGTACAACCAGAAGAAGACAATGAAGCCAAAGCTCTTACATCCAAAGCCTCCAAGAAAAATATGAATTGGTCCCAGGCCATGGAAGAGCTCAAAAAGGATTTTGAGAAGCAAGTAAGAGAAGTAGAGGAAAAACTGAGAGTGATGCTAAAGGAGACCCCCCAAAATACTGAAGAAAATAATACCTTAAAAAATAGCCTAACCCAAATGATAAATGTTGGAGAAGATGAGGGAAAATTGGAACACTAATACATTGTTGGTGGAGTTGTGAAATGATCCAGCCATTCTGGAGAACAATTTGGAACTATGCCCAAAGGGCTACATAAACGTGCATACCCTTTGATCCAGCAATAGCACTTCTAGGGCTATATCCCAAAGAGATCATACAAATGGGAAAAGGACCCACATGTACAAAAATATTCATAGCAGCTTTTTTTGTGGTGGCAAAGAATTGGAAATTGAGAGGATGCCTATCAATTTGGGAATGGCTGAGCAGGTTGTGGTATATGAATGTAATGGAATACTATTGTGCTATAAGAAATGATGAACAGGCTGACTTCAGAAAAACCTGGAAAGACTTATATGGTCTGATGCTGAGTGAAGTGAGCAGAACCAAGAGGACTTTGTACACAATAGCAGCTGCGTTATGCGATGACTAAGAATGTTAAACTGAACGCTTGTCAGTGTTACGAGGATCTAAGACATCTCCAGAGACCTTGGGATGGAAAATGCTGTCCACATCCAAAGAAAGAACTATGTAAGTTGAATGCTATCACTTATTTTTACCTTCTGTTGAGTTTTGTTTCATCTTTCTGATGGTTCCTCCTATTGGTCTTAATTTTCACTTACGACTTCACTAATGTGAAAATATGTTTAATGGGTATGTAAATGTAAAGCCTATATCAGATTGTGTGCCATCTTGGGGAGGGTGGGGGGGAGGAAGGGCGAGAAAAATTTTCAACTCAAAAGCATATGGAAGTGATTGTTGATAAATCAAAATAAATTAATAAAATTTTTAAAAAAACCTCACTTGAAGATTCAAAAAAAAAAATAGCCTAACCCAAATGGCAAAAGAGGTCCAAAAAGCCAATGAGGAGAATGCCCTAAAAAGCAAAATTGGCCAAAGGGAAAAGGAAGTCCAAAAGCTTACTGAAGAAAATACTTCCTTAAAAATTAGAACGGAGAAATTGGAAGCTAGTGACAATTTGAGAAATAAAGGCATTGTAACATTAATCCAAAAGAATGAAAAAATAGAAGAGAATGTGAAATATCTCATTGGAAAAACAACTGACCTGGAAAATAGATCCAGGAGAGAGAATTTAAAAATTATTGGACTATCTGAAAGCCATGATCAAAAAAAGAGCCTAGACATCATCTTTCAAGAAATTATCAAGGAAAACTGCCCTGATATTTTAAAACCAGAGGGCAAAATAGAAATTGAAAGAATCCATTGATCTCCTCCTGAACGAGATCCCCAAAGGAAAGGAATATTGTAACCAAATTCCAGAGTTCCAGGTCAAGGAGAAAATATTGCAAGCAGCCAGAAAGAAACAGTTCAAGTATTGTGGAAACACAATCAGGACAACATAAGATTTAGCAGCTTCTACATTAAGGGTCCGGAGGACAAAGGAGATAGGATTACAACCAAGAATCACCTACCCAGCAAAACTGAATATAATCCTTCAGGGTTAAAAATGTTCATTCAATGAAAGAGGGGACTTTCAAGCATTCCTGAGGAAAAGACCAGAGCTGAATATATAATGTGACTTTCAAATACAAGACTCAAGTGAAACATGGAAGAGGTAAACAGGAAAGAGAAATCATGAGACTTATTAAGGTTGAACTGTTTGCATTCCTGCATGGAAAGATGATATTTGTAACTCCTGAGTCCTTTGTCAGTATTAGGGTAGTGGGAGGGAAAAAAATGATATGTATGTATGTATACATAGATAGAGGGCACAGGATGAGTTGAAGATGAAGGGATGATATCTGGAAAATAAAATTAAGTGGTGAGAGAGGATTATACTGGGAGAAGGAGAAAGGGAGAAGTAGAATGGGGCAAATTATCTCCCATGAAACAGACAAGAAAAGGCTTTTACAGTGGAGGAAAATGGGGGAAGGTGAAAGGGAATGAGTGAATCTTATTCTCATACGATTTGGCTTAAGGAGAGAATAACATACACAGTGGGGTACGGAAATCTATCTTACCCTACAGGAAAATAAAGGGGGAAGGGGACAAGACAGCAGGGGGTTGATAGAGGGGAGGGCAGACTGGGGGAGGGGATAATCAAAAGCAAACACTTCTGAGGAGGGACAGGGTCAAAAGAGAGACTCGAATAAACGGGAGGTAGGAGAGGATGAAGAGAAATGTACTTGGTTTTTCACAACAGGACTACCATGGAAGTGTTTTGCATGACTACACATCTATAACCTGTATCGAGATGCTTGCCTTTTCAATGGAGGTGGGTGGGGAGGGAGGAAGGGAGAAAATCTGTCATCCAAAAATCTTAAAAACATGTTAAAATAAAAAAAATTTAAAAAGTGGCATTTTAATAGGGCAGCAGGCAGCTGAGTGTCTGCGCGCTGGGCTCTTTTCTAGCTGGCACTGCATTAAGAATCAAATTCCTGGTACCTGTCTGTGGCACGTTGCTGGCTGTCAATTGCTTCCTCTCTCTTTGTTCCCTTCCTTTTTCTGTCTAACCTGCTCCTCCAGCTTGGGCCTTCAGGGCCTTCAGCACCTGGGGTTTGCAGGATTCCTCACTTGGGGATCCCTTACTCCTCTGCTTCCACTTATAACTGCTGAGCTTTAGTAAGGCTGGGACTGGTTTAGATGAGATGGAAAGGCAAAGGAAATGAAACAGAGAGGAAAAGGAGAAAAGAAAGAGACCAACTGGACAGAACAGAATGAAAGAGAAAAGTGATTCTACCTATCTTGCCAGTTGTCTTACTACGCTTCCTTATGGCATACCTCCCTAACTGGACTACTTACCTTTCCTAAAGTCAGTCAGCCAATTAGCATTTACCAAGTGCCCACTATGTGCCAGGCATTGTTCTAAGTGCTGGGGAGGCAAAGAAAGGCAAACAGATACCTGTTCTAAAGGAGTTCAGTCAAATGGCAGAAGACAGCTGGTAAACAATTACGTACAAACAAAGCCTATAGAAGATAAATTAGGAGTAGTCTCAGAAGAGCTGAGATTAAGGAGGACTGGGAAAGTCTTCTAGAAGAAGGGGGGACTTTAGCTGAGACTCAGGGAAATGAGGGGAGGAAGGTGGAGAGAGTTCTACACATGGGAGACAGCCAGTGAAAACCTTAAGGGTCCATCTCCTGATGGAATGTTTTGTTTAAAAAACAGCAAACTGGCCAGTGTCGCTGGCTTATTAAGTAGGTGGGTGGCGATGGGGACAGTGGTGATAAGGTGTAGGAAGACTGGGAAGGTAGGAAGGAGCCAGGTTATGAAGGGATTTAAAAGCCAAACAAAAACATTTAGATTTAGATAGAAGGTAATAGGGTTCTATTGAACAAGAGGGTGACATAGTCAGATCTGCACTTTAGAAAGATGACTGACAGCTGAATGGAAGATGGTTTGGAGTGGGAAGATTTTCCACAGAAAGACCAATCAGCAGTGATGAGAGCCTGCCCTAGAGTGGTGACACGTCAGAGGAGAGAACGGGGCATGTGTCAGAGATTTTAACAACTGATTGGACAAGGGGTGTGTGTGTGTGTGTGTGTGTGTGTGTGTGTGTGTGTGCATGTGCGCACGCACGCAATGGGAAAAGCAGTAGATTGAAGAGTCCAAGGCTCCTGTTTTGAGTCCTGGCTCTGCCCTGACCAGCCATGACCCCAGGTCTTTCCCGACTTCAAGTCCACTGCTCTTTGACATGATGTTAACTATTCTTTGAGGCTAGCTCCCCTGAGGCCCAACTTCACCATCTGCCAGAGGTCTGATCTTGATAAAGTCACTCTATCTCCCAGAGGTCCTCATCTCTACCACACACACACATCTATCCTGGGCCTTCCCTCTTTTGGTGACCTCATCTGCTCCCATGGGTTCCATTATCTCTATTCGGATTATTCCCAGATCGATTTATTTGGCCCCAGCCTGTCTCCTAAGCTTCAGTTCCATATCACCAGGTATTTTAAACTGAAAGTTCCATGGGCTTCTCAAACACACCTCCCTCTTCGTAATTCCCTAACTACCATCATTCTTCTGGTCACCTAGGTTTTCATCCTTGGTGTCAGCCCTGACTGCTCACTCTCACTCCAGCTTCCTGTCTTGTAACTTCTACTTCCACAACACCTCAGGCATCAGCCTCCTTTACCTACCGTCCAGTTAACACTACACATCTAAGAGAGGGACATCTCACTCTATGTACTTCTGGCACCTCCAACTCAACACATATCTAAGTTATCACCTTGTCCCCAACCCTCCCCTTTCCTAAATTACTTGAGGACATTACCATCCTCACAATCAAGTTAGCGGTATCCTTGACCCCTCACCACACACATCCAATACTTCATCTCCTGCCTGGACACCTTTCAGTAGCCTTCTGATTGGTCTATCTTGTCTCTGTGCACTCCAAGTGACCTCCACACACAGCAGTTGGTGATTTTCCTAAAGCACAGGTCTGACCAAATCCCTGCTCTGCTCAGACTCCAGCGTTCATTACCAGGATACAACATGAGCTGCGGTGACATTTAAAGCTCTTCCCAACCTGCCCCTGGCACATCTGTGGCCTGGTTTTTGGCTTTGCCCAGCTGTCCCGGCCCACGGGCTGCTCCTCACACAACCATCCGTCTCATCTCCATGATTTCCCAGCATCAGTCCCTTCTACCTGACCAACTCTTCTTCCTCATCTCTGCCTCTTGGAATTTCTACTTCCCTTTAAAAGCCAGCTCAGAAAGCACCCTCCCAACCCCGCAGATCAGGGGGCTCCCTCCTAAAACTGTCTTGTATTCGTTTTGCACGTATCCTGTAAATCCTTTTATTTCCACGTACATGTCTCCCTGGACAAACCGACTCAACAAGCATCCAGTAAGTGCCAACTATGTGCTGGACACCATGCTAAAGACACCAAAGAAGGGGGCAAAACCCCCAAGGAGCTCGCAGTCCGATGGGGGGGGGGGACACATGAAGACAAGACCTAAACAGAGATAAAATGGAGCTAACCTGTCAGAATGTAAGCTACAGGGCAGGGCCTATTACTGCTTTGTATCCACAGCACTTAGCACAGTGCTGACCCACAGTAGGCACTTAATAATTGCTTCTTACTGGAGTTAGCACATTGACCTTAAGTCAATGTGGAAAGGAACTGTGGTTTAAAGAAATCAAAGAGGCACTGATTATCAGCACCGCAGCTCACTAATTCTCATCTAAACCACCTGAAAACATTTATGACCACGTCCCCAGAGGCACGTTTCTCTGTAGCACAAAAAGGTACCTACAAGAAATCAGTGACCATAGTTTATTACCATTTAGTTGCAATACACAGCACAAAGTACATCAAACCAGAGAGTATGTCACATTGGGCACACAAGAGGTGGACAATGATTCCATATGTAGATTAAGACTGATCACTGAACAAGAAACTCAGCTTAATCATCATCTTCTTTCAGCTTTCTAATCTTGTTCTTATGACGCTCAATTTCTTTCTGGAGGCGTTGTATCTCCTTCTCATGGTGCGTAATTTCTTCCTGATGGTGTTTCCTCAGGGAAGCCAGCTGCTCTCGGCTCTTCTCTCTACAATGATACAGCACCTTCAGCTTTGACCCACAATCCCCACCGGACACCTCGTCCTGGATGCAGCCTCAAGCACTTACACAGCGGGAACAGCTCTGTCCCTTTCTTAGATCCTCCCTGTTTTGACTATTCTTTCTCTATTAGAAAGAAGGCCTCTCCAAACTCTGAAATGCTATGGCTCTCTGGTGAGGCGTGAAGAACAAACACGTATGTTAAAGGTGGGGCCTGCTTTACCCTGTGATCTGAAGGGCTCAAGAGCTGTCTCAAACATTTTCCTTACCCTGGCGTCACTTAAGGATCCTTGATCGCACTGGTGTGGGTAATCCCTCCACCCATATAAGTTGGAGTCTCTCCCATGTTTTAACAGATGGTCTTCGTGCTTTATGGTACCCAACTAGTGATGAACTCAGTCACTGTCCTAGGGCAGTCTGTCATGAAGTACAACCTTTAAACACCTCTCTAGCTTGGTGTGACCTACCCAAAATTAAGCACTATTGGAATAGCCTTCGAGAGCTCAGCATCATCTTACCAGGATGGAGAAGAAGATTCCATTAGCACATGGGGTATCCTTTTAAGTTCTACCATTAAGGTTTTAGTGGTCTCTATTAAAATGTTAGTAGTCCTAAGAAGAGTGACACATCATTAAATTTTAGTGTAAATTAGCTTTGATGTAAAGAGCCTTTGAGAGGGGTAGAAGGTGAGGGGAGGATCACTGGAAGTGAGTGAAGTAGCATTAACAAAACACTTTGAAAAGTGAGATCGAGGGGACTAGACCCAACGTGGACCAAACTCAAAAAGATGCTGTGGCCAGAGCATGTGCCTGTCACAGCCTTAGAATCACTGCAGCACCCTGATGATCAGTTATCATCAGAGGGCTTTGGGGGGAGTTATAGACAAACGAAGGACATACTACATGACCTTCACAAGCTCAGGAGCAAACGGCTCTAAACCTGTTTATTCAGCTGTTTTTTCAGTCTGACTCTGTGACCTCACCGGCTTGCCATTTCCTCCTCCAGCTCATTTGACAGATGAGGAAACTGAGGCAAACAGGGTTAAGTGACTTGCCAGGTCTCACAGCTAGTAAGTGCCTGAGGCTGGACTTGAACTCTATCTACTGTGCCACCTAGCTGCCCCTTCTAAACCTAGGATATGTTAGAGTGGAAATCTAAGTTCTACTTGACAATTTTATTTCCAAGACAGAACAGGAAATATTTGTGTGCCTCAGGTATTTGGTCTTTTCTTCTAGGGAGGTGGGATGGAGGTTCTGAAACTGAGGTCACCATTGTAGGAACTCCAGGTAAGGAGACTGTCTCTGTACCAATGCATATTAGGAACTGTCCTGCAAATTATAGTGTTAGAGCAGGGATTCTTAACCTTCCCCCCCCCCCCCCCGTCAGGAACCCCTTTAGAAATCTGGTGAAGAGGGGCAGCTAGGTGGTAAAATGGATAGAGCACCGGCCCTGAAGTCAGGAGGACCTGAGTTCAAATCCAGCCTCAGACCAAACACTTGACACTTACTAGCTGTGTGACCCTGGGCAAGTCACTTAACTCTGACTGCCTCATTAAAAAAAAAAAGAACATAGGTGCAACTCAACAGGGAGTAATACTGTGGATACAGCTAGGAGTAAACTCAGGAAAAGAATATCACCTCCTTTCTTTTGGGAGAAGGGCCATGCATGTAATCTTGGTTAGCTTTAGCCTTTATGGGCCTGTTTCTCTGCAAAATAAAATGACTGGTCCTGTCCAGTTCTCCATTTCTCTAATGGGTCATGCTTGAGAAGCTGTTGCAGAATACTGTTGTTTGCCTGTTTTGCAGGGTTATCTTTTCAAAACTTATGGTGTGGTAGCTGCCAAGGCTTGTAAGAAACTCGCCAACGGGGCCCTGACAGAGGTGAGGATAACAAAACTGAAGGCTGGGAAGGGACGTTAAAATCATTTGTTCAACAACTCTCATTTGTACAGATGAGGACACCTGGAGGGAAAAGCCTAATTTGCTCAAGGTCACACACATAGGAAGCAGCAGAGCCAGGATTCAAAAGCTGATCCTTTGATTCTAACTCCACCGCCCCTTGTTCCTCGCCAAACCACCTCCCAAACCGAACCTAGGGGCTTTCCTTGCTGGGGAGAGATGTTACAGAGACCTAAAAGCTGTGCGCTGCACGCGAGGCCTATGGGTAGGGAGGCCTGTGATCTTGACAGCCCTGCCCACCTAAATCCGGGAGGCTTAGCCTCTGAATGGGTGGGGCCGAGGAACCTGGAGGCCAAAAGTCAGACTCCTCGAAAAGCCAAAGGGAAAAGGCTTGGGCAGCTGAGTTCCCACGTGCTCCGCCCCTCCCCCTCCCCTCCAATATTCCTCTGCGTGTCGGCTACTTTGTATCCACTGAGGCCAGTATCCGATCCCACCCAAGACAGCTTGGCCTTAGGAATAGGGTCTCTTCTTCCAGGTCTGGGTCACACGGGAAGCGTCCCAGGACGTGTCGACTCGAAAAGAGGGGAGAGTAAGAGGGGCCCCCTGAGGAGCTGGCTGGGCTTGGTGGTCCAGGGTCTAGGGGAGCTAGGGGGAATTCTGGGGGTACAAGGATGGGCTGGCCTCAGGGCGGGAAGGGGGGAATGGGCTCGGCCCTCACCGGAAGTACCGGTCCTCCTCGGCCTTTTCCCTCTTGCCGAAGGCCCCGCCGGCGTCCCGGATGGCACCGGCACCGCCGCTGACCTCGTCTACAGGGCTGCTGCTGAACTGCGGAGACAAGAGGCGGGGAGAGGGGGGATGAGCGAGACCGGGCCGGGTGGGGTCGGACCGGGCGGGGCCGGGCGGCTGGGGAAAGCCCGCAGTACCTGGCGGGGGTAGTCCAAGTTGTAGCCCCGGGCCTGCATGGTTCTGGCGCCCCACAGGCCGAGTCCAAGTCGTGTCGCTGCCACAGCCGTACACGCCATACTCGCTACTCTAGCTACTGCAGAACCCACCTCTCCTAAGCCTGGAGACCTTCAGCGACGTCGAGCCCACGCGTTGACATCACCCTCCCGGCGCAGCCGGTGTAGCCAATCCCATGCACGGGGGCCGAAGTGCGCGTGAGGGCAGCCAATCTGTATCGGGAAGGGGCGGGGTCCAGGTAGGCAACGGCGACTCCGAATGAGGGGGTGGAACCAATCCGCAGCCAATCACGAACAAGGGCCCTGCGGACAGCGCTCTGGGGTTGTTGATAAGAGGGGGAGGGGCGGGGCGAGGCAGGGTTGGCATTTGCACCAATCAGAACCTGGTGGGGGTGGAACCGCTGGGATAAGTTGGAAGCTGGACATTCTTTTAATTGAAAAAAAAATTATTGATAACTTTTGTTTTTATATTTTAATTTTCAAATATTCCCTTCTCTCTCACCTTTCCATAGAATCATCCGTTGTCTCAAGAGAGAAAAGTCGTCTCTCCCTCCCTTTCTTCCTTCCTCTATGTGGTTGCAGTGGACAGCTCCCTGGGCCTGAAGGCTGGGCCTACCTGAGTTCAAATCCAAACTCAGGTACTGACTAGCAGTGTGACCTTGGGCAAGTCACTTAACCTCTGTTTGCTTTAAATCCTCTGGGAAAGGAAATGGCAAACCGCTCCAGTTTCTTTGCCAAGAAAACCCCATGGACAGCATTGGTTTGTTGTGGCCCATGAGGTCACAAAGACTTGGACAGGGCTGAACAACAACCCTTTCTTTCTTTCCTCTTTCCTTCCTTACTCCCTCCTCTTGTTTCTTCTTTTTTTCTTCTTCTCTCCTCAACTCCTCATATATGTAATAGTGGGACCTAGAATCGAAGGCTTTAAAACTCCAAAATGGTTATTGTTCAGCAAGGTAGAGCCCATCTTTCTCCAAACCCTGCACTACTGTTTCCTTATTTATAATGGTCGTTCAGTTGTTTTCAATAGAGTCAGACTCTTCGTGAACCCATTTTGGGGCTTTCTTGGCAGAGATACTGGAGTGGTTGGCCATTTCCTTCTCCAGCTCATTTTACACATGAGGACACCCCAGCAAACAGGGTTAAGTGACTTGCTCAGGGTCACACAGCTAGTAAGCGTCAAGTGTTTGGTCGGAGGCTGGATTTGAACTCAGGTCCTCCTGACTTCAGGGCCAGTGGTGCTCTATCCACTGCGCCACCTGGCTGCCCTGAAACTGGAAATTCTTAATTGAATCAAATCTCACCCTCAATTCATCTAAAAAAAATGATTAAGCACTTCTTATAGGTAAGATACTCTACTGGGAAGTAAGGATACAAAGATGAAAAATAAGCCAGTCTTAGCCCCCAAGGAGTTTACATCTTTTTTGGGGGGAGAAATACACATAAATACGTAGAGAACATGTCCAAAATAAATAAAAAATTAAAGGGACTGGGAAAGGCTTCCCACAGAAGGTGGAACTTTTGTTTATTCAGTTTTATTTTCAGTTCTGATTTCTCTCCCTCTCTACTCTCCTTCCCCCACCCACTGAGAAGACAAAAACAAAAACAAACAAACCCCCCCCCCCCGCAACCACCAAAACCCTCCATAAATATATAGTCAAGCAAAACAATTTCTGTTTTAGCCACGTTCAAAAAAAGAAAGAAAAAAAAGAACATATGCTTTGATCTGCACTCTGAGTCCATTAGCTCTCTTTCTGGAGGTAGGTACCATGTTTCATCATGAGTCTTCTGGAACCCCAGTTAGTCATTGCCTTGATCAGAGTTCCTGAGTCTTACAAAGTTCTTTGTCTTTACAATATTGTTGTTATTGTATAAATCGATCTCCTGGTCTGTATAGTCAAAACTATGGTTTTTCCAGTAGTGATGTATGGCTGCTAGAGGTGGACTATAAGCTGAGTGGCACAGAATTGATGCTTTTGAATTACGGTGCTAGAGAAGACTTTTGATAATCCTCGGACAGCAAGGAGATCAGATCAGTCAATACTTAAAGACACTGATTCAGACTATTCACTGGAAGGTCAGATACTGAAGCTAAAGCCTAAATAGGTAGGCAACATAATGAGAAGAACAGGGCTTATTGGAAAAGACTGTTATGTTGGGAAAGATTGAAGGCAATAGGAAAAGGGAACAGCAGAGGATAAGATGGACAGATAGCGTCATGGAAGCAATGAACATGAGCTTCGACAGACTTCAGGAGACAGTGGGGAATAGTGGTGTGCCACGGTCCAAGGGGTCATGAAGAGCCAGACAGAATAATGAACAATAGTCTGCTCAGTTTATTCTGCATTAGTTCATACAAGTCTTCCCAGGGTTCTCTGAAACCATCACCATCATCGTTTCTTTTCTTTTTCTTTTCTTTTCTTTTGAAGGCAGTTGGGGTTAAGTGACTTGCCCAGAGTCACACAGCTAATGTCAAGTGTCTGTGGCTGTACTTGAACTCAGGTCCTCCTGACTCCAGGGCTGGTGCTCTATCCACTGTGCCACCTATCTGCCCCTTCCCCCCATCATCATTTCTTACAGTATACTAGTAATCCATCACGTTCATTCCCCAATTGATAGGCATCCCCGCTCAGTTTCCAATTCTTTGCCACCATTTGTACATATGGATCCTGTCCTTCTGTCTTTGATCTCTTTGGAGTATGGAACTAGTAGTGGCATTGATGGGTCAAAGGCTATGCATAGCTCAATGGCTTTTTGGACATAGTATTAAATTACTTTCTAGAATGGCTGGACTAATTTCACAGTTCCACCGACAATGCATTAATTTACCTGTTTACCCACAGCCCCTCCAGCATTTGTCGTTTTCGTTTTCATTTTCGTCCACTTTGCCAACCTGATGGGTATGAGGTAGTATTTTAATTGGCACTTCAGGCGGAGGTGAGAAGGTAGAGTATTCTAGACATGGAGGACAACCAGTGAAAGTGCCCAAAGTAGGGAGATGGAGCGTCTTGTTTGAGGAAATACAAGGCCAGTGTCCCTGGATCAAAGAATATGTGGGAGAGGAGGGTATAAAGTACAAGAAGTCTGGAAAGGTGTGTGAGCAAAATCAAGCACAGGAATCCCCACTATTATAAGAACAGGGACGGGATAATTTTTTGTCTTTTTATTCTATGTACCTTAAATGGGACCATCTTGAGTACTCTTTTTTTTTTTTGGATTATTTTTTGGTTCCAAACCTGCAACTTCATCTGTGTAGCAAACTTCTGGTGAGGAAGGTACATCACACAAATTTTCAACTGTTCTCAACTTTTAGTCTTCTAGAGTTGCCTGGGGGTACAGAGAGGCAAGTGATTTGTCCAGAGTCAAGCCAGTACCAGAGATGGGACTTGGCCCAGGTCTCCTGGACTCTCACACCAGTTTTCTAACCACTATGTCAAACTTCATCACGTGCAAGACTTCATAGTTTCCCCACCCCCTCCACATACTTATTAGTATTTTATTTTTTCCAATTACATGTAAACATAGTTTTCAACATTCATTTTTCTAAGATTTTGAATTCCAAATTTTTCTCCATCTGTTTCTTCCCTCCCCCCTCCCCAAGACAGCAAGCAATCTGACATAGGTTATACATGTACAATCATGTTAAACATATTTCCACAGTAGTCATGTTGTGAAAGAAGAATCAGAACAAAAGAGAAAAACAATGAGAAAGAAAAAAAAGTGAAAATAGCTTGCTTCAATCTGCATTCTGACTCTATAGTTATTTCTCTAGTTGTGGATAGCATTTTCCATTGGGAGTCTTTTGGAATTAAGGCTTCACAGTTTCAATAACAATAAATATTTCAATAACAATAAATATTCACTAGCAATATTTATCAAATCAAATTCTTACTGTGTGAAGAGCACTGAGTTAGAGGAAGTGGAGGTATAAACTTTAAATGAGACATAGTCCCTCATGGAATTTATAGTATAATGGTCAACAAGCATCTATTGAGCTCCTACTATGTGTCAAGTACTTCATCCCCACTAAGTGCTGGGAATAAAGGTAAAAGACAGTCCCTGCTCTCTAGGAGCTCCCAGATTAATGGAGGAGACCAAATGCACACATGCATACATAAACAAGGCATAGACAAGATAAATTGGAGGTAATCTTAGAGGGAAGGCATTAGCTTTAAGGAGGATTAGAACAGCCTTCTTGCAAAAGGTGAGATTTTAGCTGGGGCTTGAAAGAAGCCAGGAGGCAGAGATGTGGAGGGAGGGCATTCCAGGCAAGGGGCCAGCCAGTGAAAATGCCTGGGGCAGAGGAGTGAATCTTTTTTTTTTTTTTTTGTCCAGCAAGGAGGCCAGTGTCACTGTATTACAGAGTATGTGGAAGGGAGGAAGGTGTAAGAAGCCTGGAAAGGCAGGAAGGGACCAGGCTACAAAGGGCTTTATGAGCCAAATGAAAGATTTTGTGTTTGATGCTGGAGGTACTAGGGAACTACTGGAATTGACTGAATGTGTAGGGGTGGGATGGGGATGAGGTGGTCAGACCTGTCACTGATCACTGACAGTTGAATGGAAGATGGAATGGAGTGGAGAGAGACTTGAGGTAGGCAGATCAAGTAAATAAGTATAGTTAGATATGAAACCTCATAGTAAGTGGAGTAAAACAGAAAACATTAACATAGATAGCTACGATAAATGGTATTACATGAGTAATAGTCCTTACAACTGTAGAAAACAACACTTCCTTACAATAGCATTTTTAAATTCAAAATTTTTATTTTCCCCCAATTACATATAAAAACAAATTCAACTTTTTTTTTCAAATTTTGAGCTCCAAATTCTCTCCTTCCCTCATTGTGAAGGCAGTTTGACATAGGTTATACATGTGCAGTCATACAAAACATGTTTCCATGTAAGTCACACTGTGAAAGAAAACAGACAAAAATGAAAATAAAGTAAAGAAAATAAAGTAGAGTAAAGTAGAGAAAGTCTGCATTCAGACTCCATCAGTTTTCTCTGGAGATGGATTGCACACAATAGTATTTTTTAAAAGTGCTGTATGATGCTGCAACTGATAAATGGTCAAAGGATAAGAACAGGCAGTTCTCAGAAGAAGAAACTAAGGCTATCTATAGTCATATAAAAAAAAT